CAAGCGCTTCTGCCCTAAGTCCTTTAAAGTGACCTTTTCAACAGAATGCGTTTGGGGGCGCTAGGGGTTTGTTTCTTCCAGTGATTTCCGAAGATGAGAGTAGTTGGCGTGTTTCATGTTGAACTTTTGTAGGCTTTTCCTTCTGGGAAGTGTTATTAGCTAGTAGGTTACTAGAAACTGTTCAGTCGTTAGAAGTTTGGGGAGATGGGTGTATATCGGTAGAACTACTGGATTAAGCTGCTCAGTCCGTTTTGCAAAGGCCTCTGCATTTTACTGTAGATGTCAGTAGAAAAGAAAGTTGGGCTTTTTTTTTTTTTCTTTTCCGATGAGTACTGTCAAACATAAAAGTTCTGTCTTCACTAATCTGCATTGTTCTTTTTTGTCTGATGCATCCCATGTACCTTGCTTTTGCTTAGAGAACTTTCCCATCCCACACAATTCTTCCTGCTTGGCAGTAGTGATAGCCTTGGTTTTATTCTTGATTTCAGTTAGGCAAAATAATCTATTGTGCATTTACTGTTCCATGGAAAAGCAATGGCAAAGAGTAGTTTTTCTAACTTTCACTTATTTCTTAGATAAGAACATCAAAAGAGGTTATTTTGTTGTTTTCCATGTCCTTAACACCTTAAGGGATGCTTTCAGACTTTTAATTTCAGCCCCTTAGTAACAGGAAAGAACCTTCCTAGAAGACCCAGTGTCGGACAAAGACACTTTTACTACTCCTGTTGTTTTTTAGAGGCAGGGTCTCACTGTGTAGCGCTGGCTGTCCTGGAACTCACTCTAGTTGAAGTTTTGCTTGAATTCACAGAGATCAGCCTGCCTCTGCCTCTGCCTCTGCCTCTGCCTCTGCCTCCCAAGTGCTGGATTAAAAGTGTGAGTCACCAAGCTCTAGGATACTCTTTTTGTTGTTGTTGCTTTTTTTCCCCCTGAGACAAGGTTTCTCTGTGGCTTTGGAGGCTGTCCTGGAACTAGCTCTCATAGACCAGGCTGGTCTCAAACCCACAGAGATCCTCCTGCCTCTGCCTCCCAAGTGCTGGGCCAGGCGTGGGTCTCCACCGCCTGGGTGCTCTAGGATACGCTTATTCTTGGATACAGACTGAAAGGGCCAAACATGGATGCCTCAGGCATGGGACAAGAGCCTTACACTGTAGCCTTCCTAAGAAAATAGATACAGAGAACTATTTTTCCTTTGTCTTGAAACTAATATTAGTCAAAAATAGTTTGTCAGTCAGTCCTTGATTGAGCTTCAACAGCTTTTAAGGGAATTTAAATGAAATGCAGAAAGATTTTGAGGTAAAACTAGATAGTAGTTGACACTCTTCAGAACAGCTTCTCTTTAGTTCCTCACCTGACAACTAATTGAGGTTATCTGTATGGGGCCTGTAGGTGTTCAGGTTATGACCTTTGGTCAGGAACTGCAGTTTCTACCCATGTGTGCAGATGTTGTGTATCTACCAGGAATGGGGTGTCAGATTTTGTGATTTGAGAGTTGCCATCTGCTCTCCTAGATAATATGTAGTGACTGGAGGCTTCCCCTCTATTTGCCTTTGTGGGAAAGTCCTTGCCAAAGGACTCAGTCTCAGGATCCCATCTCCTTAAGGCCCTCCCACTCTGAGCAGTGTATGGAAACAACCCCACCTGACTAGCAAGCTGACTTCTGGGCACACCTCCATTCCAGCTCACTTGGTGGCCTGACTGGGTGGAGCAGGTCAGAATAATTGTATACTCAGCACCATAGATTATGAGGACTGAGTGTATTATTGGCTCTCATGACATAAGTAAGCTGTTTATGGCTCCTAAGTGACTTTGTTCCATGTCACATTTGGACTGACTCAAATTTCAGCTTCATGTTAAGAGTACTTCAGAGTTGCTCACACCTTGCTGCCTGCCCTATGCTGAAACTGATGGAGATGCAGGGTAGTTTGTGGCAAGGGCTGGAGTGGGCATTGCTTTGAACAGACATCATATTGGCAGTGGCTGCATACTCTGGAGCATATGTTGTATTTATTGCCTTGCGTAATGCTGATTGTCAACTTAGTGTGCATTGGTTCTTGCTCTGCCTGCTTCTTAAGTCCAGAAACACTGGCTAGTACTAGAGCTGCATGACAATTATTGTAGCAGTTCAGTAGCTGCTGCTATATGTGGTGATTACATTGAAGTTAAAATTAAATACAATGAAAAGCTTAGCTCTTAGATCACAGACCATGTTTCCAATGCCCAGTACTCACTTTGGGCTAATGGCGAAGCATGGAGAAAACCTCATCAGCACAGTAGCTAGGGACAGTGCTGATGTAGACTGAAGTTGTAGGGGGAAAGGAGCAAACTGAGAGCTGCTTATGTGTTGATTTTTCTCTCCACCCCATTAAATCCAGGGAAACAACAGTATTTGTAATGAAGAACATCAAACTCTGAGCTGTAACCTGAATTCTTGTCCAAAATTGAGCATACTGACAGCGAGCACAGCAGATTGCCGTTTGTCCTACTGGCCTCTGTGAGGCACACTTACCCATCTAGGAAAGCAGAGCAGGTATCTGTATTCTGCCACCTGTGTGCCAGCCTGGACCAGCTCTCAGACAGCCCTGCCTATCCTTTCTTGGGCTACTTGGTGCTGCTCTCAGGGCCCCTGAGCATCCCTGAGATCTCCATGATTGTTGGAATGTGAGTATAGCCCTGTACTCTGAATTCCTTTTTTTGATGATCCTGTAAGATACTTGGTCTATGTCTCATGATGATGCAGGACAGCATGGGGTAGTCAAGCCTCCTTCCTTCCTCTATTCTGTGCAGTTGTCAGGCAGCTAATTATTATGGGCATATCCTTCCCTGCCACCTCCTCTTGGAAAGCTGTGTCATATTTGTGAATACAGGGTCATGAAGCCCCAGCGGCCAATGTATAGTTAGTGCCTACTCCATTTGAACAGCCATGTGGGCAGGCTGTTTTACATTTCTGGGGTAATAGACCCCCCTTTCTACTCTGATCCTTCCCTTTTAGAGCTGGGACTCCGGGGATTTGAGGCATTTGCTATTTCAAGAGGTTCCCATGTTGGCTCGGGTATGTGGTAGTTTTCCTTCCTGGTCTGGATGAGGTGAGCAGGCCTGGGACATACACCACATGTTCTGCTCACAGATCTGAATGTGGAAGTGTGCCATGGTCCATCCTTTGAGGTGTATTTCTATTTTCCTGGGTTTTACTCAAGCAGTCTAGGTTCCGCTTGCTTTGATCTCTGCTTCTGTGGATCAGTTCTACAGGCTCATTTCAGTGGATCCCACATCTGAAAAAGGTAGGGTTGATAGTGTCCAGGGAGGAGGAAAGGCTGAAGCTGCTCTGCTTAGCTTGGGTTGGCCATCGCTTGCTTCTTGAGTGTGGAAAGAGCTGTGGGTGGGGTGGGAAGTGTGATTCATGAGCCAGCATACACAGGGAACCTTCTTGCTGCCTCTGTGTTTAGGTCCTGGTGCCAACAGCAACTTTAATGGGCACAGAATTCCCCGGGAACGGCACTAACCACTGAATTTTCCCCACAGTTCTTCAGATGAAGGCTATGCAGTAGAGTCTTCGGCATCCCTGCTGATCACTGGGGTTACCATTGGTTGCCTAAGTCTATGAGCACTTGAAGTGTTATTATGCCAGAACGGTTGAGGTTTTTACTTTATCCAGTAACTAATTTACATTTAAACAGCTACAGGTGTTTTACTCCTTCCCTCTTTGTAAGAACACAAGATTTGTTAAGGAGTGTGTCTGGGGGGGTGTTGCTTGGTTTTGGTTTGGTTTTCAAGGCAAGGTTTCTCTGTAAAGTCCTGGCCATCCTAGAACTCACTCTGTAGATCAAGCTGGCCATTGGAGTGCTGGGATTAAAAGCATGCACCACCACTGCCAGACATGATTTGTTTTAATGGTGTGTTTGAGTAGGCACCTGTGGCATCCAGAAGAAACCATTGGATCTCCTGGAGCTGGAGTTATAAGTGGTTGTAAGCCACCTCATGTGGGTTTTGGGAACTGCTGTGCTCTGGAAGGGCAGTAGTACTATTGTGGCAGTTAAGGGTCTCCTAGCTGTGTTGTGCTGGCTTCCGTCCTACAGTCCTGCTAAGAAGAGGACAATTCTGGTTCCCTGTTTCACTCTAGTAAGCTCTGTACTATTTGGTGGGGAGAGGGTCTCTCTAGACCCCCAGATTTACCAGCAGGGTTCATATGGGAACTCAGCTAGCAACTGCTATTCATTTGGGGTTTTTTGTTTTGTTTTGTTTTGCTTAGTTTTTAAAAAAAATTGAGGATGTCTCCATCAAGGCATTCCCATCTAACTCTCTGAATGCGGCAGGTTCCCAAGAATGTAGTGAGAGACAGGAAGAGAAAAACTTGTGACATTTACGGTATCTGGGGCTTGAAAATACAGTCAGTGGTCAGGTTGCCCCCCACCTTTTTTTTTTTTCTTTTCTTTTTTTGAGACAGGGTTTCTCTGTGTAACATCTCTGGCTGTCCTGGAACTCGGTCTGTAAATCAGGCTAGCCTCGAACTCACTGAGATCTGTCTGCCTCCCAAGTTCTGGGATTAAAGACGTGTACCACAACCTCCCAGCTTCTTGTTTTGTTTTTAAACAAAGTCATAGCAAAAATAAAATGTAAAGGCCAACCACTAGACCATCATAGGAAGAAAATGGCTGTTGATCTTTGGTATACAGAGCCGTTGATACATGTCCCATATAGCTCTTGAGGTTTTTTAAAATTACATTAAATACCATTGGTACATGATGCCTCTTAAAAGCATAGTGCTGCCAGGCGGTGGTGGTGCACACCTTTAATCCCAGCACTCGGGAGGCAGAGGCAGGTGGATCTCTGTGAGTTCGAGACCAGCCTGGTCTACAAGAGCTAGTTCCAGGACAGCCTCTAAAGCCACAAGAAAACCCTGTCTCGAAAAACAAGAAAAAAAAAACATTTAAGGGAAATGACCAAGCCACAAAAAGACAAATATGTGATTTCATGAATGTGTGTTACCCAGAATAGTTGAGCTCATTCGTAGAAAATACAGTAGTGGGTACAAGGGCTGGTTCAGTGGGTATGATTTTGGATTTACACTTTATGGAGATTAGTTGTATAATGGTGTGACTGTATTTAGCAAGGCGCTAAATTTTGTTATATATTTTATCACAGATAATAATAAAACTTGTGCTTGAGCCAAATGGGCCTGGTGGCCTACACCTTTAATCCCAGGACTCAGGAGGCAGAGGCAGGCCAATCCCTGTGAGTTCAAGATCAGCCAAGGATACCATGTTTGGAAAAAAAAACAAACAAAAAACTTGTATTTAACACTTAACGTTCTGAGTAGAAAGCTGGACTTGCCTTACCCCATGTAGTTCCCTCAAGCAGAGACCACCTTGCATCTTTCTTATGAAGCCTCATTTCCTTACTCATAGTTGACAATTGAAGACAGGCCTGAATGACAGACCTTATTAGTTCTGTACCTAAGTGAAGCATGAGAGGAATCTGCTGCTTGCATCCCATTACAGGATGCTGTGCCATCCACAGCCTGGGTAGTGGGCAGCCGGATTTAGTTCTTTTTCACTTAACAGGCAGGTTTTGGTCTCATCAGCTCTTGAACAGGTGTTTTTAAACTTCGGGAAGATTGACATTTGAGATTTGGCCTTGGGTGGGGGTGAGACAGGGATTACAGAGCCCTCTGCCCAGCCTGCCAGATATTCTCAGGGCACCTGTATCCCAGAGAGGGCAGAGTATGTATGGACTTGAGAGTTTTCCTTATGGCTGCCCTTTGGCTGCATGCAGTGCCAGCATTTCCTCTGCTACCCAAAGCTGGTTAACCCAGGCAGGCCCATGACCTAATGTGCTAGAACAAGGTTGCCACCTGCTCCACTGAAGGCTCAGGATAGAGTGACCCCTCACCCAGTGTTATCAAAGTACATAACGAGGTATTCTTAATTAAGTACCAGAGGTTGGACTGGGTGTAGGACCAAAGGTCACTTAGTGAAAAGGGGCTCCCTTTCCTTCCCTGGGCCATTCAATTCCTTCCTATTTCTGAGACCTCCTTGTCTCCTAGATATGCAGGTGCTTTTGTATAAACAGGTAGGTAACTAAAATAACACCTTACAGGGACTGGGGAGATGGTTCCATGGATAAATTCACTCTGCTTGCAGGAGGAGCACCTAAATGAAAGCTGGACGTGGCAGCCTGTGTCTATAACCCCAGTGCTCAGGGAGGGAAGAGACAAGTGGAGCTCTCACCAACCTGCCAGTCTAGCCAATTGGCAAACTCCAGGATCAGTGAGAGACCCTGTTTAAAAAATAAGATGGAGCTGGAGGTGGTGCATGTCTTTAACTCCACCACTCAAGGCAGAAGCTGGCTGATCTCTGAGTTCCAGAACAGCTAGGGCTACACAGAGGAACCCCATCTCAAACAAACAAACAAAAAACACATACCTGTCATGGAATGCAGGACTCCTCCTACCAGTACATAACAAAGTAGGGTCCTGGCATCTTGTCTGATCCCATGCACTTCAACATAGGGGCCTTGTGCTTCATGGATGTTTGGTTTGAGTGTTACTATTTTCTTTCTGGAAATAGACTTTTCTAAAGAATGTACCATTTTGGGCTGGAGAGATTAATAGGTTTTGGGCTTAGAGGTTAAGAGCACCAGAGGTCCTGAGTTCAATTCCTAACAACCACATGGTGGCTCACAACCATCTACAATTCAATCCGGTGCTTCTCGTGTGTGTGTGTGTGTGTGTGTGTGTGTGTGTGTGTGTGTGAGAGAGAGAGAGAGAGAGAGAGAGAGAGAGAGAGAGAGAGAGAGAGAGAGAATGTACCATCTCAAAGGAGAACCCAAACTACTTTTCTTAACCGGCTGTCCCCTTAGAATTGGTGTCTGTGGTACCTACCCATGGGTATGTAGGTGCTGCCTACTTGTGAACTTGAGAGACTCCTTGTGTGGTACTGCTTCCTCTGTTGGCTTGCTTTGCTTTTGTTTTATGCTATATAGTTGGGACAAGTCTGTAATGGGTGGAAAGAGGCTTTGGTGAGTGTGTCTACAGAAGGAGCTGGGGTATGAGTATTGGGTGGGCATACCTATGTCTATAGCTGTTGTAGGCAGTGATGTTGACAAAACTTCCTGCAGTGAGGGACTGTGAGGGATCATGACCCACTGACTCAGGGCTCTTCCCCTGGCTGTCTGTAATCATGAACATGCCCATTCATCTGTCTTGACAAATAGCAAGAGATAGACTCTCTCAGCCAGGCCTGGATAGATTGCATGCCAGCTAGGCCTGCAGAAGGAGCTGGGGACTGACTGGCCAGGCAGAGATAAGTGTCATCTGCCTAGTGATAGGTTTTAAAGATGCACAGTCTGTGGGAGATGCTGGATGTGCCTTACTGAGAAAACTGTTTCCCTTGTGTTGAGGATGGCCACATGCCTCAGGGTAGAGAAGGCCAGGACACTAAAGTTGACTGGCATTGTAAGGGCACTGCAATCCCAGCTTGAACCTACATTTTGCCTTGAGTTGTTCCACAGGGGAGAGGGCTTGCCTCAGGTTCTCTGCCACTTTGGAAGTGGGCAGGACTCGAGATGATTTGGAATAGCTCTGCCTAGAGTCTCACGGGTGAATAAGTAAATTGGCACTTTGGTTTTTATTGTCTTATGGCCATGCAATCACAAAGGGAATCTCTTGGCCAGAAGTACACCTGCTTAAAGAATCCCTTACTTTGTTATAGGGACTTTGTTATTTTTGTGACAAGGTCTCCCTGTGCAGCTCACGATAGCCTAGAACTCTATCCTCCTAACTGAGGCCCCTGAGTGCTGGTATTGCAAGCTTGTGCCACCATGTCTGGTCTTAACTCTTTGAGCTGGAATGACCCCTTCCTCAAGCTTACTTATTTGTTAAAATTGTCTGGAAATAAGTGTGTCCTGTTGTGAACAAACTGCAGGTATCCTGCTCACCTTCCTTCCCTTGGAATGTACTCTAGATGGAGAAATCCCACAGAAGATCTTGCTGGGGAAATACTGCTTTCCAATTGGCATCTTCAGCTTCCTGGGAGGTCTCAGGCAGCATGCAGCATGGCATGCCAGTGGACAGGCTGCTTTAGCCATGTCCCATGCTGTGACTTATTTTTTTTTTTTTTTTTTTTTTTTCACAAGGGTTTTTTTTTTCAT